TAGGATCTAAGTGAGTCGTATCATTTCTTAATCTTCATTGTCATCCTCATATACCGTTTTTACACCTTTTCCACTAGAATTGTCCGGTAAATTACTCACTAGTAGTTAGACTACACTAGAAGGTTTTCCGTTGCGTTTTTGCTAAGACGTTTTATATATTTGAAGTGATTAATCCTCAACATATATTACAGCAGTTTCCACACGTGCGAACAGGAAGATGTCGCATTTTCTAATGCAGCCTCCTTGAAAACTGCCTTTTTGCCGACTTGAATGCAGATTCTAATGGCTCCACTTTGCAAAAGCATCCAAAGGAACTTCATCACAAAAAATAAGCTCCTTACAAGCCAGATATTTAAATAAACTTCGAAATACTTTACCAAAAATACACTGATATTCATTTTTGAATGCATTACATGACAATAATAGACAGCGTCCTCGGAGTGAAAATTGAAATCGTCAGACCAAATGGGTAGGCAACGGTATTCACGTCGACGTATAGCTCTCACAAACCAAAGCCACTCGGTTGGAGTCTTTTTAATAGCATAGGCCATGCACAATTATTACTGTTTTATATCCCTTAAACCGGCAAATAATAACTCTGCCAGCAAAATCCCCGGACCGGACGGGGGATGGCGCCCGGGGGAATCCGGGGAATACGGGGAAATCCGGGGATGAAGAATTTTTGATTAACGAAGTATATTAACAGAGCTCATTTTTCGAGGTCTAGTTCTCATCAATAAATTATTAATGAAACTATCCACTAACAAAACATTCAATTTGGGGTCTACAAATTAGAAAAAGGGGGCGGGAGAGCGAGTTTAAATCCCCGTCCAGAGCCCCGTCCTGATTCCTCATCCAATCCGGGGAAAGATTGCCAGTTTGGACGGGGCTCAGGATGGGGATTTCAACCCGTCTGCTCGCAGCCTGAAAATGTTTTCACAGCGAGACACCTACTTGTTTTCGTTTTTTAGACCCCAAGTTAATTGTTTGGTTAGAGTGTAATGTGGTTAATAATTTACTGACAAAAAAGTTGATTTTGAAAAATGGGCGCCGTAAATATAATTCGTTAATCAAAATTGTTCATACCCGGATTACCCTGGATTACCCCGTCTAGGGCACGGGGAATCCGGGGATTGTGTTGGCAAGGAACCTAATAAACAACATATTAACTCAGTTGACGCGAACTCGAAAAGCCCGAAATCCTTGGTATCATCCCGACGTATGGGAGCAAGTGGAAAACTGGAGTAAAATCGCCGCTCTCCCAGCAAGGAGTTCCTGACCGGGAAACATGGGCTGTATCCCGTTAAGTCACTTTATTAAGGGAAGAAGGCTTTCGCCCTTGAGCTCCCTTCGCACCTTGATGACGATTCGCTGAGGAGGCCCTTTGGGTAAGTTCTGCTTATAAATAATTCTGCCTGACATCAGGCACGCAATTCTTCTTA